TTGTAAATGTGTCCTGATTTCTCCTAGTGGCTTCCAAACGGTGGTTTTGACCTTCCTAACCCTGTGAGATACTCAAAGCTGAAATGGCACACTGTGGAGATTTTCTTGAAAGTTCTGTTTACATTCAACATTTCTAATTATACAGTGGGGCAAAAAAGTATTTAGTCAGCCACCAATTGTGCAAGTTCTCCCACTTAAAAAGATGAGAGAGGCCTGTAATTTTCATCCTAGGTACAACTATGAGAGACAAAAAAAGGAAAAAAAAAATCCAGAAAATCAAATTGTCTGATTTTTAAAGAATTTATTTGCAAATGATGGTGGAAAATAAGTATTTGGTCAATAACAAAAGTTCATCTCAATACTTTGTTATATACCCTTTGTTGGCAATGACAGAGGTCAAACGTTTTCTGTAAGTCTTCACAAGGTTTTCACACACTGTTGCTGGTATTTTGGCCCATTCCTCCATGCAGATCTCCTCTAGAGCAGTGATGTTTTGGGGCTGTCGCTGGGCAACACGACTTTCAACTCCCTCAAAGATTTTCTATGGGGTTGAGATCTGGAGACTGGCTGGCCACTCCAGGACCTTGAAATGCTTCTTACGAAGCCACTCCTTCGTTGCCCGGGCGGTGTGTTTGGGATCATTGTCATGCTGAAAGACCCAGCCACGTTTCATCTTCAATGCCCTTGCTGATGGAAGGAGGTTGTCACTCAAAATCTCACGATACATGGCCCATTCATTCTTTCCTTTACACGGATCAGTCGTCCTGGTCCCTTTGCAGAAAAACAGCCCCAAAGCATGATGTTTCCACCCCCATGTTTCACAGTAGGTATGGTGTTCTTTGGATGCAACTCAGCATTCTTTCTCCTCCAAACACGTCTAGTTGAGTTTTTACCAAAAAGTTTATTTTGTTTCATCTGACCATATGACATTCTCCCAATCCTCTTCTGGATCATCTAAATGCTCTCTAGCAAACTTCAGACGGGCCTGGACATGTACTGGCTTAAGCAGGGGGACACGTCTGGCACTGCAGGTTTGAGTCCCTGGCGGCGTAGTGTGTTACTGATGGTAGCCTTTGTTACTTTGGTCCCAGCTCTCTGCAGGTCATTGACTAGGTCCCCCCGTGTGGTTCTGGGATTTTTGCTCACCGTTCTTGTGATCATTTTGACCCCACGGGGTGAGATCTTGCGTGGAGCCCCAGATCGAGGGAGATTATCAGTGGTCTTGTATGTCTTCCATTTTCTAATAATTGCTCCCACAGTTGATTTCTTCACACCAAGCTGCTTACCTATTGCAGATTCAGTCTTCCCAGCCTGGTGCAGGTCTACCATTTTGTTTCTGGTGTCTTTTGACAGCTCTTTGGTCTTGGCCATAGTGGAGTTTGGAGTGTGACTGTTTGAGGTTGTGGACAGGTGTCTTTTATACTGATAACGAGTTCAAACAGGTGCCATTAATACAGTTAACAAGTGGAGGACAGAGGAGGCTCTTAAAGAAGAAGTTACAGGTCTGTGAGAGCCAGAAATCTTGTTTGTTTGTTATTGACCAAATACTTATTTTCCACCATAATTTGCAAATAAATTCTTTAAAAATCAGACAATGTGATTTTCTGGATTTTTTTTCTTCTCATTTTGTCTCTCATAGTTGAGGTATACCTAGGATGAAAATTATAGGCCTCTCTCATCTTTTTAAGTGGGAGAACTTGCACAATTGGTGGCTGACTAAATACTTTTTTGCCCCACTGTATATACATATTTGACAAACATTTACCAAGATTCACAGTTTAACCATGAGTGTCCCCATTCACATACCGAATGTCCACAATACACTGTTCAATTGTACATCTGTTTGTAGTCATCATATTAAAAAGTGTATACATTCCTTACGTATACAGTATTTGATCTACTCAAAAGCATAGGTGTAGTTTTTTTTAACAATAAAGTTGTGAAAAGTGGCATTTTAAGCTATTAAACATACGAAAAATGCAACCACAAAAAAACACAAATCAATGTGTCCTTTGTGTCTTGTGTATGTTTTTTGTCATTTAGTCAGGGGCGCACCTTGCGAACAGGCAAGGCAGGCAACTGCTTGGGGCCCCGGACCAGAAGGGGGCCCCCAAAGAAGGTAGATTAAGAAGGTCCACAGCAAAGACAACATGAAACACCCTTTAATTTACTGCAACGACATGTCGGGTAACCCCCTCGAGGCGGCCCCATGCATAGCGCGCCCTAAAATGCTGCTTCTCATCTTAAGTTTCGTTGCCTTGCTCCGCTCCAGGACGCTGTGTGTGGTGATGAAAAGCTGGTTCGAGGGGCCCCCAGTGAATGTTTGCCTAGGGCCCCCACCGACTCTAGGATCGCCACTGCATTTAGTCAAATTACAATAAAGCTATTAAACAGAAATCAAGATGAAAATGATAAAATAATAAAAATAAAATGTATTATATAAAATAGAAGAAGCACCAACATCAATGTGTGTCCTGTTTCATCAGTGTTGTGCTACATGTATTACATTAAATCCATTGGGAAAAGGACTAAGTATTGTATCACATGCAAGAAACACAGAGCCTGTTCACATTATAAATCAGTTTTATTGACTGCTGAACATTCAATCACCCGTTCAATGAAAACAAATAAAAAATCCCTCCTTCAAGTTTTAAAAACCCACCATAGCACTGAATGACTGGGTCACAGTGCAAAGATAAAGAAGACGAGCAGTTAGCACAATCATTGATATAAGAAAGCCGACCGTCAACAATGCTGGAAATAAATTAGATATGCCATGAAACAGATGAGTTTGTTCTGTGTGGATCTAATGAAATGCTGAATGTAGGGAAGCTGCCATTCAATTAAAGGGTCCTGCAGCGTTGAGACCACTTTCAGTGACAGTCACTCATTCAATTCATTCAAAGACATTTGTTGAGACTTGTTCCAAAAACGGAATACTTTCAGATATCTGATGAGAATATTACTAATAACCTGCTGAGCTCGTTTCCTCCCTAACTGACATAGGACATACAACCTCAATATCACACAAATATGGCTGTTTCATAGGGTTGTAAACATTAGATCCCATTCAGAATAATAATACACTTATTTCCTCATTTTATCTCAAATCAAAAACAACAAACAGCATAAGGTTTTTTATATAGTTTCGTAAAGCCAGAATTAAACTAATACAATTTAACTAAAGAGAATACCAAACAGTGGTACATATTTGGAAATGAACAGCCAATTAAATGTGTTTTTGAATATTTCCCAATCCGGTTAATCCATTATAATCTGGCCAGGTTTTCCCCAGATATAGAAAAGACCGAAATTGTCCCACATTGTCTTTTAACAGACAGTGTTTTTAAGACTTTTGGAGCTCTTTTCTCCCAAAGTAATGCTCTTACAGAACAGCTTGTGACGGCACATTTAATCCATGAGGGCAAAAGAAAATCCGGAGATGAGAGAGACACAGATGGCATCCAGTTCAAGAAGGGAATGATAGCAAAGACGATGACAGTGTGTTTACCGCCATCTTTAATTAATCCTTTACGAGACCCAGCAGTCAGAGGAGTCAGAGAATATTCAGGAGTCTATTCATGTTGCTCTGATTTGTTTTTTTTGTACTTATTTCACTTTAAAAAAAAGGGACATTTACTGCTTTAGTGCTTTTCAAATCAGACTACTATATGATACCCTTACTCATATGTATTTTTGGTATGAGACATATAACTGAACGCAGCTTATTATGCTTCTTTTTAAAGTCTTTCCACCACAGCACATCGCTTAAAGACATTACGCTAAAACTCAAAACAATCGATTATTATCAAGTATTATATCCCAAAAACCAATGGTGGCTGTTTTGGTTGGTGTATCTTTTGCTTTTTATTGATTTGCTGCTTGTCTTATTATATTTAATTGTATTAAGTATAAACACATTTATTTGATCAATTTCTGTTGAATTTTCTTGTGTTTTGAAAATCCTTTTTCATTTTTGAGATTTAATTTTATTTATGATGATATTCCAATCTTAAAAATATTTAATATTATCTGTGGTATATTTGTAAATGTACATTAACACCATTTTATAAATCTTTCAAATAAATGGACACAACTGTATAGACGTCTTCTTTCGCAAAAAATATTTATAACAATTTTGAATTCTTTATTTTCGCATGAATACAATTCTTCCATTTCTCTGCTGTGTCGAATCCTAAATGTAGTATTGAAATTTAACAAAAAGATTTAAAATATAAAGAAATCGATACTCTGCATTTCACATTGTTCAAATTCAAGTTTATTTTTTCCTTAAACTCAAATAATTCACGTTATCATGACAGAAAACTCAGAAAAACCATATTTTTGAAGCGGTTTTCCTTCGACAAATCATTGAGGACTTTATGCCTCTCTGAAAATTCTCTGAAATCCTCTGACTCTCGCTCTCATAGTCGTTCAGCAGCCAACCCCTCTCACCATCGACCCTTTTATTGGTCACGCTAAAAGAAAGCGGGGTTCAATGCCCCGAAAAGACATACTTCCTGCGAGTGTCGAGAAAAAACTAAATAAAAAAGAGAGACTGCTTCAAGTATCCAGAGTGGAATTCAATAGCCCTGAAGGTTTTTCATTCATCATTTCACTTTCCGTAGATCCCGAAACTCTTTCTCTGCTGATAGGCTGGAGTGCTGGAGTGTGTGTGTGTGAGAGAGAGAGAGAGAGAGTGAGAGTGTGTGTGTGTGTGTGTGTGTGTGTGTTTGTGCGTGTACCTTAGTGGTTAAGGAAATGTGCACAAATTAACATCCAATTTTAAGTTTAAATCCAAAAACGCTTAGATGTATTAATTTAATAACCTTGACTTGTTCCTGCTGAGATGGAGGACTGTGTGTGTTGTGTGTTTCAGTGTGAAGGCCTATAAGGCAGAGAAACAGATGCGGGTGGACAGAATCCGTTCTGCATCCCAAACTAAGACACTTTCTCCGTCACCTTCACCCAAACAGCTGGAGTGTGTGAATATTGGGACTGAAACAAGGTAGCACCAAAAGATTTCATTATGTTTTCGTACCTGAACTAAATCCAAATCAATTTGAAACTGTGTAAACTTGACATACTGTCCAATGAAAGGGGACAAGTCAAGCGGAAACAAAATATTTGTCCTCTTACCTGTTCCATTACGCAAATATAGGTTGTAGTTCGGGTGTGTTGCGAAACGTTTGAGATACTGATCATAGAGATGTCTGCCTTGTCCATAACATAATGGAACTAAATAGCCCTCTGCTTGTGGTGCTCAAAAGAAACATGTGAGAAACTCAACAGCCTCATGGAGAGCGTTATTTCCTTCCTTCGGTGCAATGATACTGCTGGCAGGTGGTGTACTGTAGAAATAAAACAGTTCCTCCAACAAGGTCTTTCCTTTTGAGTTAAAAAACATCTTTGGACTCATTAAGCTCAACAAACAGAATGCCATGTTGGTTTCTTTTATATAAAAAATAAGGCAGACATCTCTATAGTGAATATTCTCTAAAACGCTTTGACAAAACAATATAGATTGACTACAGCTGAGAGGGAAAATGTGTAGTTTCACGTGAACATGTTGACACAAGCATCTGAACAAAGTGTGGCAGGGACTGTTGTTGCAGTTGTTTTGCTGCTACTACGGTAATTATAGTCTAGCGTGCCAAATAAATGTTCAAATGTAATGAAAACATTGTGTGCACCTGCTGGATGAATGCTCAAGTATGCACGTTCACACCTTAAAACGTGTGAATAAGAGAGGATTACTGAGTAGGAAGTCATTGTATACCAAATAAGATATATTTCAGAACCAAAGAAAAAGCAATGATTTCTCAGAGGAAAAGTATTTTTTTTAAATACACGTTTTCAATTGGTATTACCTTCGTTTTTAGCCAAGCCCAATAGACCAGGTTCCCAAATGTGTGGAAGAAACAATATGCATTTAAAATGTAGGGAATGACCGTTAGAGCTCAGATGCTTTGGGGGTTTAGTTTGGGATGCAGAAGAAGACTCTGTCCTGCTCAGTGCAGCAGCTCCGTTATTAAGACAGAACAGACTCCTGAAGTTTTGTTAGGACTTCTTGGGACAGTGTGAGGATGAGTCTGTGTTGAGAACCTCGATCATCGTTCTGCTGGACGGGAACGTCTCTGCTACAGAAGGAAGACTCTGGTACCAAACTGGTAAACTGTTAAAAGGAGACAGAGAATATGAATGAACTGCGCTGAAGAGTATTTATAAATAAAAGGAAAGGTTCTGTCTCGTTACCTCATGAGGTTCATCCAGTTCTTGGCTGTTTTACTGAAGCTTTCTGGACTGGGTGTTGTCATGGCTTCAAAATCCACCAGCTGAAACAATGTTTAACAAACTGTTAGAGGACAAAGACTCGGGATACATGTCAAAAAAACATCTGCTACTAAGCAAGTGTTTTTCAAAACTAAACATGGCACTTATGTAAAAAACTCTTCAGAATAGAAAATAAACGATAGAGATAGATCAGGGGGGTCAAACTCAAATACACAGTGGGCCGAAATTTAAAGATCGGTACTAATCGAGGGCCGGAGTGGTTCAATGTTTATTGCAGAACTTATTGCACATATTAAACCTGGAACTAACGAAGCTTAAATTATTGCGTATAAAAACAACATTAAACATTAAATAATCAGTTGCATTCATTTCTTATGGCTCTATCTGCAGCTTTTCCCGAGTCATTTCTTATGATTACATTTTTCCACAGGCCAACAACAGCTTCAAAAAAACTATTTCCCTCAAAGAGAAACCAAACATGCCCTGTTGTCGTGAGAGAAAAAGTGCAGAGGGAAACATCCATTAAACTCAGTGTGCTGCTCTGTGATGCAAGCCAGATACTTGGCATCTCATCTTGGGTGCAAGGTCATCAATGTTTGGGCTCAGGCTCTGAGCTGAGGAAACCCTCAGGATGGAGTGAAGGTGTG